CTTTCCTTACTGTTGCGTAACTTGGCAACCGACCGTTTATCAAGGGTCTGTCTTCGTGGTAACTCGTTCTACCTCCCGTTGCCCAGCAACGGTTAGACATATCACAATATATTGGTATTTTATTGAAAAGATAATTCAATATTATGTGGGATTTAAAATTCTCACAGCGACAACTATAAGGAGTCATATCCTGAAGGACATAACGCTATGCAGTCAGGTAAAAATCAGCTGACGTTTCGGAGAAACACACCACGCTACTTGTCGCGTGCTTCATAATAGTGTCTTGTCTGGCTTACTCTTCAACCCTGAGGAAGTAAGCGACAGACCGCGCCATAGCTCAAGCGGTTAGTCTCTGGCTTCCCACCGCGGCGTCCCGGGTTCGATCCCGGGTCTGGTCAAGTGGGATTTGTGGTGGACAAAGTGGCGCTGGGGCGAGTTTTCTCCGAGTATTTCGGTTCCCCTGCCAATCTTCATTCCACCAAATTCTCCATCATCATAATCACCCGGGGCAGGCTACAATAGGCCAATCAGTGGCCGCCGTGCCGAGTGGACCTAGTTGGACTCCACCCCCCACTATGCGAATTTAAAAAAGTAAGCGATATTTTTCTCAGAAACGTCGGTTGAGTTCCAACGGGCTACATTGCATTATATCCCACATGATAGGACTCTTCATAACGACCGTTGTGGGAACCTCAAAGTCTAATTAATTTGTAGTTTCGGAAATTAATATCTGGACGAATGGATGGATATACACGACCTTTCTGTTTACTTCAATTGCAATTTAATACTGACTAATTCCTGTATTAATTGAGCGTTTGTTTGTGTAGAAGGTTATACCTTGGTGAGGTAGGCGGGGTCATCCATGATTCGCTCTAGCCGCGTGGCACCCAGTCGGTTGAAGGCTTGGTCTGTTGGAACGAAGAAAGTGAAGGATGCACGAGGAGTCTGGCTCTCCAGAGTTTCGGGGCTACTTTCCATGACTTTCTCAATTGCCTGAAGGAATATGCTGCAACAGTTTATACAATGTTTGGTGCATTTCGCAAAGAAAATATGTAAAACCAAACTTTAGTTTCAATATGTCTGTCCGTCTAATAACTACACCAAACTACCTCACCCATTTCGTTCTTACTCGGCAGAATATGGTGGATCTGCGCCAAATTTGGTCGAACCATTTTTATTTTGTAAGATTTGTGGTTTTCACGGCGGTGACTATGAAGAAAGCAGTATTCTGGGATGTGACGCTGTATAGATATTATGTTAACCGACGTTTCGGAGGAACGTATCATCTCCATCTTCAGGGTAGAAGTAAAAAGAAGAAAATCCGCAAACGAGGAACCAGCGTGATGGAGGAGGTACGTTCCTCTGAGACATCGGTTAACTCAATATCTACACTGCGCCACATCGCAGAAGACTGCTTTCTTCTTTCTTATTTTGCCCTGTTTCATTCTAGGTGTTACTTTATTTAATGTTCCAAATTAAAGTTTGCTCATAGGATATATTTTAAGTCATTTGACATATTTCACTAAACTTTAAATAAGATACTTCTTACTATTTAAGTTCCATCCAGTTTAATTGAAGCTGAAGGCCAGTTCACTCCTCAAGACCTTCTTAAACTTGTACTTGTATTGCTTAAGCTTCCCAAATCGTTACGAAACTTTATACATGACACTTCTGTTAACATCAGTACTATGATTGGACTTCCAGACATTTTTATTTACTTTGAGTAACATTACTGATGGGTCTAACCCACTTTTTACTTATAGAGCTATGTTTTAAGTATTATCACACATGTTAATAAAACTCTATACACTGCACTTCTCATTTAAATATAGACGTGTAAAACTCACACACATAAATTCAGTTTAAGGGTCCAAATGAGCTTACACTTAGGCGTATATAGTTTCATCCCTCTCTGACATTTTGATGAAACTTGGTAGGCTGTGCGGCACTTGAAGTAGATGAGTTTCCTTCTTTTTAATTAGCTTGTAGGCCCAAATTTCTTAGGGATCTAAATGATTTTTCGGTGTACCTTGCTCTTTCCATTAGGCAGTAGTGGCCAAGCAGAAGATTAGATCTCAATGTATCTAACTCAGTGCAATTAAAAGGAACTTTTGGAATTGATAAATAAATGCTAGTAATGATGGCTTTCTTAAGAAATCACGTGTCATCTGGAGATGCTGACGAAATGTCAAGCACCTGTTCTGTTGAAATTCTCAAGGAAAAATTCATAAATTTGAGAAGACTTTTTCGGTTGAACATCGTAGAGATCTATTACATGCCATGTGACGTACAAATGTAGTGTTACGGAGTCTTTGTTCAGGAATTTAGATCTCCCTGATCCAGTCTTTTCTGTCTGTGGGCACCAAAATACCTGAAATTTCCGTCTCTTCTCAGTATGTCTCCCGCTGAGAAGTTTGATGGTGAAAGAGCCTTGTTGATGATATGTATATTGCCGTTCATTCCTTGCAAGTCTGCTTTCTCGATGAGGGCATCTTCCACCCCAATGGCTTTTCGGTAAACCTGTAGCCTCAGAGGATTCTGTTCGTCAAGTGACATCACAACCTGTTTCCAAATAAAACGAACAAGCTTTCCTGCAATGCTTCTCTGAAGATTGTGTCACAATTTTTAATTAATTTTACTGCAGTTACCTTGGACCTTTCACGGTATTTGAGCTATTGTTTACACAGAATGTTTCGGAAGATGGCTGTAATCCAGCCTTCACGTAACTCTGATGTTCGGGTGTCGGCCTACCCGTCAGAAGCTTGTCTCTGTGTAATTAAGATGACCGCCTATAAAAGTCTGTGAGCCAAAAAATGCAAAATAAAGAAGTAAAATAGAGACAAAGGCAAGAAACGGATAGAATAATTTATAATTCTAAGGATAACAAATAAAATGTAACAACTATACGTGTACAATACACATATTTGGGATATTTCTTGTTTCTCTTATATCTGCTGGTCGTGCCTTCCGTGTTATGAAAGTGTGTTTGCAGTAAATGAACATCAGGGCCAAAGCGGTATGCAAAATGTCAAAGAACGCATTTGTGAAATATGTTTATTCTATCTGATACATTACTGTTACTATCAGGGCTGTGATAGGGTTTGAAAAATCGAACCATTGTTCACATGAAAGATTAGTATTCAAAGAGTTCCGGGTTTGATTCTGACTCCTTAAATTTATTTTATTTTTACGTGCTAATTCAAAATTTCAGTGTCCAATTAAATAATACAATTAAAGAAATAAAAAGTGAGGCAAACAGTGTAGAAATATAGGTAAAATTGCATACATAAAAAAGATATTTTACTGCATATTAGAGACAGACGAGGCAAATATTTATAAAAACAATATGTGTTACAAAATTCTGCAACTGGCTATTTACCAAATGAACCAGAGAGTTGATGTTAAAGAAATTATTTTCAACCATATTGAATTTGTTACTTATTTCATTTTTGGCTAAGGTGCAGCTAACGTAACGACATTTATTACGCTAAAAAGAAGTGTGAAAGATATTAAAGAATATAGTGTTTAAGTGCAATTCTGATAAGAACAGGCAGGACTTATCCACTCTCTTTTTATAATTGGCTTATACTTCGACCCTGAATATAAACGCTCTATGTTCCTCCGAAACGTCAGTTGACTTTCACAGGACTGCGTGTCATATATCCCAGAACATAGAACAATCCATAGCCACTGCCATGAGAACCTCAAATCCAACGTCTGATGGCCTTTTCCTCAAATTCCATATTCAGAAATATTTGTGATTTTCCTCCGTCTCTGCTGGGAACGTGGCCTTGTATAGGGATGGATTTACAATGACAGGTAACAACGAGAGCTTGCATAGTTCAATAATACAATAATAACCAGAGAACTAAGGGCCACGCCAGATCGTCTCTGTGCCTATTTGAAATGTAAAATCGAAGTCACAGACTTAGTTCTTAATTTCTGATAATAGCCTCACCTGATTATCCGAGATCTGATCAGAGTTAATGCGACCCTGAGCAGCATGGTACAACACGAAATTTCGAGCCTTGTCCTTATTAATTTTCAACTCCTGCAGCTGATTCGGGGGCAGAGCTGTTGAACAGAAGTATTCACAGATGATTATAAAATAATCTCCACAACGCACAACTTTTATTCACGTTCTCAAAGCGAATTATACATATTTGTCACTCAGGTTTAAGAAGTTGTTCGGAAAAGTATGATTCCACTGTTTGGAGAACATGAATTATATAAATGTTATGTGTATGCAGAAATCCTATGATTCAGTCAAGAGGGAAGTGTTGTACAGTATTCTGATACAGTTTGGGGTACCCTTGAAACTAGTTAGGCTGATTACAATGTGTTTAAATGAACCGTATAATAAATTCCGTATAGGTAAACATTTGTCTGATAATTTCCCTCTCCAAAATGATCTAAAACAAGGAGATGCTTTATCGCCCCTGCTTTTCAACTTTGCTTTACATTATGCCATTAGGAACGTCCAGGAAAAACCAGATGGGACGGAAATTAAATTGGACACATCAGCTGCTGGTCTATGCTGATAATGTGAATCTACAAGGAGATANAGATGCCATAAAGAAGAACACAAATTTTAATTGACACAAGTACAAAGCTTGGTCTAGAAGTAAACACAGAGAAAACTAAGTATACTTGTATGTTGCTATCTCGTCAGCAGAATACAGGGCAAAATCATTACATAAAGAGAGCTAACAGATGCTTTGAAAATGTAACACATTTCGTATATTTGGGAACAATAGTAACAAATCAAAATTTGGTTCAGGAGGAAATTAACAGGGACTGAATTCGGATAATGCTTACTACCGTTAGCAAAGAACCTTTTGTTTTCTTGTCTGCTGTCTAAAAACATAACAATTAGTATATACAAAACTATAATTTAGACTGTGGTTCTGTATGGGTGTGAAACTTGGTCACTTACTTTCAGTGACTGAGGGTAGATTCTAAAAGATTCTGAAAATGGTGTATAACATTCAGAATCACTGGGTTTTTGTAACTTTGTCCTTTGTCAGGTACTCAAAAACTAGAAAACACGACATTTCGGAAACTGGATCTGTTTCCATCCTCAGATGATGGAGGGGGAAGACATCTACTGTGTTGGGTCCCTTATGAAGAGTTAACCTCAATCACAGATCCAGTTTCCGAAACATTATGTTTTCTAGTTTCTAGAATACTGGACGATGGACAAAGTCCAAAAACCCAGTGATTCTGATAGACTGAGGATGCTTGAGAGCAGGGTGCTGAGGAGAATATTTGGACCGAAAAGAGATGAAGTGATAGGAGATCAGAGAAAACTACATCATGAGGAGCCTCAGATCTTGTACCCTTCGCCAAGTATAATTAGAATGATCAAGTCAAGGAGAATGAGATGGAAATAACATGCAGCACGAATGGGGGGAAAAGAGGAATACATATAGAGCATTGGTGGGAAAGCCAGAACGAAAGAGACCACTATGAAGACCAAGACGTAGGTGGGTGGATAATATTAAAATGGATCTTAAAGAAATTTGGTGGTGTAGACTTGATTGATCTGCGTCAGGATGGGGACCCCTGGAAAGCTCTTGTGAACACGACCTTCGGGTTCCATAAAATGCTGGGAAGTTCTTGAGTAGTTGCACAATTGGCAGCTTCTCAAGAAGGACTCAGCTCCATGAAGTTTGTTTATATGTACACAGTTATAGACCCGTATTCTATGTAAGATTATCTCCACCAAATTTCAGGATCGTGCATTAACAGCGCTGTCCCATCTTACAAATCCCACAGCCTTCACAATAGTAGCACTGATGATAAAGGAGAAGTGGCATAATGTTCTTACCTAACCTCACGAACTTGATGGGGTAAGGCACACAGTCATGATGATATAAGTGTGTAGTTTCTTATAAAATAAGAATAAAAATGTGGTAGAAATTAGAGGTCAGTTTTGGATCGAGAAAAACTCGTCAACAGAGACCCACATAGTACGCATCACACTTGTTGAATGCACGTCATGGCCATCACAAGTACATGTCAGTTGAAGCCACTTACCATACATTGCACTCTCTGATGGGGCAAACACCGTGTACTCGCCAAAGTTTTCAAACGCATCTTCCAGACCAGCAGAGCGGACTAATTGCAAGAACACAGACAGTTGTTCCTGTTCAGCCAGTTGCATGATGCTCTTTGCTGAAACAATTCACATGTGTTTAAGCAGGTGTGGTCCACTGTGGAAATGCATTTCAGCCTGTGAAATAGGTGCACATTTTCACACTCAGTCTGTTGATTTTCTTGTAAATTGTTACAAATTGTATGCAAGCCTTTCTGGCTATACAATTGTGTTCAATCATTGGGCAACAGTAATTATGGTACTTCCTGGAGAAAAGTCCTTGAGACGATCGTTCATGGAATCCGAAAGTTCATAACCGTGTTCATAAGTGCCCGAAACTTGGCACTGTCCTGAACCAGTTCTGAATCACGACCACAAGGCAAATTCTGTTTCTTTAGGATTCACTTTCATTCGCAGAATATTTTCCTATGTAGCACGAATGGGGGAGAGAAGGAATGCATACAGGATGTTGGTGGGAAAGCCAGAAGGAAAGAGACCACAGGTAAGACCAACGCGTAGGTGGGTGGACAATATTGAAATGGATCTTAGGGAGATAGGACGGGATGGTATGGGTTGGATTGATCTGGCTAAGGATAGGGACCTGTGCAGGGCTCTTGTGAACAAGGTAATGAACCTTCGGTTTCCATAAAAAGTTGGGAAATTCTTGAGTAGCTGCAGAATTGGCGGTTCCTCCAGAAGGCTCAGCTCTATGAGTAAGTAAATATACACCTAATTCTCCAAAGTGTTGCATTTCCATTAGGTTTACTTCCTATTTTGTACGTGTCTATTGCATATCGCACCCAAATCTGATGAACCTGATATTTTGTTAAGAGTGCAAATTATGAAATCGTTATGCAGTTTTCTCGTTCCCCGTTTTATATTTTCTTTCAATTACATCCAGATATTCTTGTCATTTTGTTCATTATCTAGCAACAAAGTTTCACACCCACTTAAAATAGATGAAATTTAGCCTCGCACAGATTACAGACCACTGTTTAAATTTAAAGTAGGATCCAGGAAGTTCATATTGTCTGCCCTTAAGTGTAACAAGCATTCGACTAGTTTAGTCTGCTTTACAATTTTCAGTGAATGCATCCTGTTGTGTTAAATATATAAATGTCTTTATTAAAATCAGGCACAATATAACAACGAAACAGTTGAAGTTTGGCACTATTTTGCCACATGTTGCGGCCTTTAAGAAAGCCATCATCAGGCAAATACACAATTGACGTGTTCTTAAGTTATTGAATTGCAAACTATATAATTCAGTGCAGTGTTGAATTTTCGACAACATACCATAATATAAAACATAAAATACAATAAAAGATAAGGATTTTAAAAGAGATAAATTACATAATTAAAATACAATTAAGAACTATACATGTAATATACCCTATTAATGTAGGTTGTTACAATCATAATGTTATGTTTTTTGCGGACATATGGCGACATTTCTCTTGCTTGTATACACATGTGAAATGGTTAAAATGATTTTAACTTCGTACGTTTCATTTTGACCTGTTAATATCGCTGTGAGAACCAAGAATTTATTAACTGTCCCTATATTTTGATTTTGTCTTATATTCCCATGACGACAGGAGTACGCGGTAGCGCAGTTGGTTGAGGCACTATGCTAGAAGCCAGAAGGTCGCGCGAACGAATCCCGATGAGGTCATTGAATTCTTTTCAATTGACCTAATCCTTCCAGCCGCACTATGGCCCTGGGGTCGACTCAGCCTCTAACAGAAATGAGTTCCAGGAAGTAATTAAATAGTTTTCCTGGGGAGTAAAGCGCGGCCTGCGCGTAAGGCTGACAACCTTACCGCCATCTATGAGCCGATTGTCTAGAAAAGGTGGGAGTCTCAACGTCACACAGCCCTATGGGCCTCCACGGCCTGTTAGAAGGATACCTTTACTTACCTCTGTCTGGAAGGAGTAAGTCATCTAGCATATAGAGGACACCATTTTGACCCATTAGGAAGTCAGATCTGAGCCTCTTCTCCTCTACTGTTGTGCCCTTCTTGTCGCAGTCAAATGTCAGTTTCTGTGAGCCCAGAGTTCGTACCTTGTGCTCACCGATAATCGCAGGCAGGCAGATGGCATGTGGAATTACGTGATTTTCCAACAGTGCTGTCAAACATGAAACGAGTTTTATATCTGATATCATTAAAGTTTCACCAAACAATTTCACAATTAAAATCAAATATATGAATTACGACTTTCAACTTGTCAGAATTCTTAACGAGAATTCCTGTGGCTAGGTTTGACCCCTGCTCGTAAAGTGTAATTGTATATGCTGACTATAATGCAGAAGACCCTTCGAAAATTATTATTTCTTAAAGATCTGCTTTCATATTATCCTCCCACCTTAGCCTATGTGTCTCAATCAACATTCTGTACATTCATCGCCTTCCTAATCCTACCCACAAGGCCAGCCTATGGTAGCCTGTGGTCTACGAGGAAAAAAATTGATAGACCCATAGAAAATCTATTAATCAAAATATGTTTTCATGTAAAAAAACAAATATTTAGGCTTAAGTCTTAAAAATTTGTCAACAATATTTCATGTCTCGGTCTAACTTAAGATGGGGGGGGGGGGCACGTGGTAGCGTACTGCCTCGAGGCGCTGTACTACAAACCATAAGGTCGCGGATTTGATTCCCGATGATATAATTCGATTTTTCAATTAACCTAATCCTTCCAGCCGCACTATGGCCCTGGGCTAGGCTCAGCCTATAACAGAAATGAGTACCGGGAATTTTCCTGGGGGGGGGGATAAAGGGCGACCGGTGCGTAAGGCTGACGACCTTGCTGTCATCTGTGAGCCGACTGTCTAGGAAATGTATGAGGCTCGATGTCTCACAGCCCTATGGGCCTCCACGGCCTCTTACACGGATAGCCTTACATTTACCTAAGTCAACTGGTGCATACCTTCCCTAGCGTATTTATCGTTCATAATCTTCTCGAGACGCGACTGGGGGATCTTCTGGAAGGCTTCGTCTGATGGCGCAAGAATGGTGCAGGGTTGCTGAGAGTTGCGCAGCCGGTCCACGAACCCTGACTGCTCCATAGCCTTAGCAAGTTCCGAGAAGCGTCCGTCCTGAAAACAACGCACAATATTATACACGAATCTCTTTCGAATTTTCTAGAATTTTCGAAAAGCAGATTTGTTTATCCAAGTTTACATTTCGGTGGGGGGGGGGCTCAACTGCATCTCGGTCGGGTTACTGGCTGTCATGCACTAGAATATTCCTACTATCTCCCTCTCTCGTCTTCTCAGGCGAATTCCGGCCAGTACCTTCAAATAGTTCGTACTGCCTCTTCATCAATGTTTCAAAATACGCTTCACGTGCGTCAGACTAAAATACAGTTCAAAATTTCACGGAACCCATAATCATATCTCATTTTTGGTTACATGTGTGCCCGCATGCATAACTTGTGTTCGTGATCACGTTTCATTCGTTACCATGCTTTCATCTGAACCATATTTGTTTTCTTCCTCTTCGCTCTCACTTTTGAGCACAGGGCTGATTTCTCAGCTTCATTGTTTATTTTTACAGACGGTAAGACTCCTTGGACGGGTGATCAGTTCGTCTCAAGGCCTCTACCTAAACACAGGACCACACAAATACAGAATTAACGGATACACATGTATGTGTATTGGTATACCAAAAATCCTTGCTTTGTGTGGGATTCGAACCCACGATTCGGGCTTCCGAGCGAACGAAGACAGTGCGTGCCTTAAGACCGCTCGGCTACAGTGACCGGCGTTTGAACGTATTAGGCGAATAATATTTTAGTAACTGGAGAACAAATTATTTAAGTCTTTCTCTCTTATGGGTTCTATTGTTGTCTTGCAACATGTTTCCTACTAGATTTCAGTCTTTACCCTGATATAGAGATTGTCTTGTTCGATTCTCGATCTACACCCCTCACCGTTGGGCTCTTTGCACCTAATGATGGAGCTTTCCACGGCAGTGGTACTTTAGATAAGTATATTTCTGTAGATGGGTATACACATTTAGTGTGTCCGTATCAGGCCGGTAGGCCGCGCCATAGCTCAAGCGGTTAGTCGCTGGCTTCCCACCGCGGCGGCCCGGGTTAGATCCCGGGTTTGGTCAAGTGGGATTTGTTGTGGATAAAGTGGCGCTGGGGCAGGTTTTCTCCGAGTACTTCGGTTTCCCCTGCCAATCTTCATTTCACCAATTGCTCCACAATCACCCTCTCCTATCATTTGGGGCTGGTACAATAGGCCAGAAGTGGCCGCAGTACAAGGGACTTAGTCCCACCCCACTAACAATTAATTAATCAGGCCGGTACCCTTCACCTGAACCACCAGCTCAGCAAGGTCACGTGGTACGGTGAAGTCTGGGTCCAGAAAGGAATCGATCATATGTACAACTCCGTTGGTCGCCTCCTGATCCTTCCTGACGATAAATGCGCAGTTCACTGTTTCCATCTGAAACATAGAAACATTGCAATCAATTTTTCTACAGTAACAGTTGTGCTTCTTTCGGAAACATACTGGTCAGTTGTCCCGCAGTGACACAGCAGACAGAAATAGAAATGGTTACTTCTTTCACTTCTCGGCGAGTGTTAAGACGTTTATCTGAATATACTTTTAGGTTTATGACGTATACAAGAGTAAAAATTCTGTAAAAGAGATGGGTAAAATAATTGATATTTTTTCATCTTTTCATTTATGGCTCTAAACATATTTTAACACAATTTGAGGTAACACCATATATTCCAGATTACATAATTTGGTTCTGTTTTTTGGATAATAAGACAAAAATTAATATTTCTTAATCCATTTCATTTCTGTTCCTAACGCTAAGGAATACTTATCTTGTAGATGTATTGTTGTTATTCCCTGAGCCTGTTTTTACAAATTTAGTATTTCTTTTCTTAAGGGCCAGGCGATGTAAGATACATATTTTTGTTCTCCTTCGCTTCTCCGGTTTACTATGAAGTTGACAACATTATCTGGCACACATTTTTAACACCGAGAGATTAACTCTGAAAATTCTGTATCTTACTTGCGGGACTCTTTCTTGACATAATTGTGAAAACAAACTTCTTTTCTATTTTCTCCTTGCCTTGTCATTTACATCATGGGAAACCTGAGGACGCGCCATGCCTTAGTGGCACGTGACTGTAGAAATACTGAGATATCAAAGCAGCAAGTATAATCTCAAGGGGTGTTGTCCTTAATGTAAAATCCATCTCTTTCTTGTTTCCTTCCATCTGGTCTTCTTCTTCATGTTTTATTTTTTTTATTGCTAGTGAGGTGGGACTAAGTCCCTTGTGCTGCGGCCACTTCTGGCCTATTGTACCAGCCACAGATGATAGGTGAAGGTGATTGTGGAGCAGTTGGTGGAATGAAGATTAGCAGGGGAAACCGAAGTACTCGGAGAAAACCTGCCCCAGCGCCACTTTATCCACCACAAATCCCACTTGACCAGACCCGGGATCGAACACGGACCGCCGCGGTGGGAAGCCAGCGACTAACCGCTTGAGCTATGGCGCGGCCCAAGACCTATATTAAGTATGTATTTTATTATATTCATTTTGTCCAATTTATATAATATACACATGGTTACAAACATTAGGAGTTTAACAAAGTTTTTTGTAAGAAATAAACAATTTCAGTACAGTTTATTTGAACAATACCCATCCGAAGGAAGGGCACTTGGTTAGCTAACTATGAGATTTGAAAGATAAACTTACTCCATTGGAATACTTGTTAATTCGGAGTTTGTGTCCGTTATACCGGGTATCAACCAGAAGGTCTGCCCGGAAATTGTGCGAAGTCAGCTTCCGGTCCGCCAGATGGTAGAGCAAGAGCGGGTTCCGAAGGTTGCCACGGTTAGACTCGAAGTGGGACCTCTGTTCCCTTGTCAGTTCCTGCGAAGTTGCCAGAATTTGATATGACAATGACAGAACCGGAGATTAAATTCTGTTCATGATATTCACTGTTTCACACCATGCATGAAGTCAATCTTTATCCGCTATATAACTCTCCTTCTTACGTACAAATATCGAACAGATCGTGGAAAACACGAAACACGAAGGTATACAGTTGTTCGTCGTCCATAATGATGCTGAAACTGTAAAAAGAAGCTTTAGTTTTGATTTTATGGAGACATTTATATCCTTTCTGTGAGCACGCCAGACAACGCTGTAACCATTTCGGTGATTTCTGTTACTGACTGCAGTTCTGAATTACTTTCTGATATCTTTATTAGAAAAAAATTCCAGACTCTTAAGCCTGTTCAACAATAATGAGAACGGGTGATAGCAAGTTATAAATGGTTCAGTTATTCTTGCTGCATCTAGCAAAGCCTTGAAGATGCAGAAGTTAAGAATATCCAAAATTCCTGTAATACGACCTATGTCTACAAGGTATTGCTCAAAACTAATTCTCTAACCTCATCACGAACCTCGTGCAGTCTCTTGCACCTGCTCACATTGGTTCGCTCGAGGATTTCTTCTTGTCTTCTACCCTGAAGATGGAGGCGATGTGTTCCTCCGAAACGTCGGTTAACACAATATATACACGGCGCCACATCCCGTAAGACTGCTTCCTTCATAATCACCGCCGTGAAAACCTCAAATCTTACCTCGTGTATTTTTATTTGCGGAATGAAGTAATTAGCTGTGTAATTAGTCTTGTCTGTCTGTCTGTCTATCTATCTATCTATCCCTGTTGCTCCCACTTGGAGCATTAGGCATCATGAAACGCTTCTTTTCACTTCAGTTTCTTAAAATTACCCAGACGGTAGGACTCCTTGGACGTAGGACTAGCCCGACGCAAGGCAGCTACCTACACAGGACAACACAAGCAGAGAATAAACCCAGACAAACAGCCATACCTTGAGTGGGATTCGAACTCACGATCCCAGTACTCGAGCGAGAGAAGATATTTCATGCCTTAGAAGTGCAACCACGATGACTGCCGGTCTTGCCATTAAGATTGTCTGAATGGGTGCATAGTGGGACAGCAGACTTACATCAAATGCGTCATCAAGAGGTGCAAATAGTGTGTAAGTTCCTTCCTTTGTGAGTTCGCTGCTGACACCAGATTCTTCAATGTAAGTAACGAATTTCCCGGCACCCAAGTCCCTGGCCGTATCCAGGATATTCTTCAGGGGCTTCACTGAAGAAATAAGACATATATATATACCAATTAGGCGAAGAACGGTGCTTGGAGATACTAGTTGATCCATTTACAATTGTGTTAAATATGTGAATTTTATTAAATTCTTTAAAGGGGTGGGCTATTTCACTTAGGAGAAAATTTGAAAATAAATTTTAACCAATGTCTAGTGTAGATTTGTCTAGTTGTGTAACTTGCACGAACCAGTTATAAAAATGGGAATATTAGTATTGCAGTTCAGTAATGGTATGTGAGAAACTTGCAGCACCTGAATATGACTCGTTTGAGGTCGAAACATATAGTACGTGCTATATAAAAAATAATAAAATATTGTTGCGTTGACTATAAAAAATATATTTTCATTGTCAAATGAAGTTGTTAAGGCGTAATTTAATTCTTGTTGGAATTGTAGGAAGTTACAAACTATGCCAGTGCATCGGCATGTTGCAAACTTAAAGACTGGAGTTCGATTCCTGAAAAAAAAAATGAGGATTTTTCCCTTCGGTCACCACACCCACTCCAGCTCTGGGGAAGCGACTTGAATGTGCTGTTTCTCACTTCCTTCAAATACATAGATCCATAATGTGTGGTGCTTAACTTCCACGCCACACATATTGAAGCGCGGTGCTTATGCGTAAAGGAAAATTTACCTGCAATGAAATACTTAGCATTCTGAATACTAAGTACCAGAAACTTTTTATATTTGATCTTAGGAAGGAGACTGACAAAACGAGAGATTCTATTCTGAAATATATGTGACTTCGTAATTGACGTAAGATGCAGATATTACGAAGATGGAAAAAATGTCAGAATGAAAATTTTTATATTTGTGGCCTACTCTTTGTCAAACACTATTTGGATGACCAAATGAAGTAGGATGGGTCCGTGGAGTGTGTAAGTCGCGTGAAGGGGACAAGAAATAAAATCTAGTCGGAAAACGTGATGGGAAGAAACAGCTAGGAAGGCCTAAGCGAAAATAAAAGAATAATATTAAAATACGTCATAAATATTTGGGGTATGGACTGCATTAATCTAAGGAGCCGGAAAAGCGCAGTCGGTATAGCGACTGGTTACAGGCTTGACGACCGAGGGGTCAGAGATCGAGTCCCGTTAGGGTCAAGAATTTTCTTCTTCTCCACGTCGTCCGGACCGGCACTTTGGGCCTACCCAGCCTCCTATATAATTGGTACTGAGCTCTTTCTTCAGGGGTAAAGTGGCCGGATCGTGAAGGTGACCACTCACCTCCAACCAGTGCCGAGGTCAAGAAAATGCGGATCTATACAGCCACTCCTCCATAAGCTTCAAGGCATAGTGCTTAATTAGTTAAGCACATGGACAACTTTAACTTTTACCTTACTACATTAATCTGAAGGAAGGCAGGATCTAATTGCGGGATGGTATGAACTTCCGTTTTCCATAAATTCTGAGGAATTTCTTTACAATCTGATAGATTATGTGCTTCTCTAGAAGTCTATTGCTAGAAATATTCTGCTGAATGGAATGAGACAATACTGTACCTCCAGCACAACCTTGCTGTCCGGCCACTTGCTGATATCCCTCGCAACATTCGTACCGAATGACCCTGAAACAAGAGGAAGCTTCAGGTGCTGACTCTCTCCAGAACAGCCACAAGGAAAGTGATTCAGTCAATGTCCTATTAAAGCACTTCATGCGGCAATTTTATGTTGAACGTTATCAGCCTGTCTGAGTGATCTCTAACTACTGGGCTGAGTGGACGACACTGGCACCACATTCCTGCTTTGATTGCTTAGGCCGCCGTAACAGATTTGCCTTTGTCAGTAGTTATAGAAATTGAACAAGGAGCACACAGTAGCACAGTTAGTTGAGACATTATGCTACAAGCCGGAAAGTCGTGGATTCAAGTCCCGATGAGGTGAATTTTTTTCAATTAACGTAATCTTTTCAAATTAACTATGACACGTTACCTTGAAATATGAAAGACGTGTTAGGTCAATTGAAAAATCCGCCTCATCGGGACTCAAACTCGCGACCTTCCAGCTTGTAGCCTATTGCTTCTACCAACTACACTACACAGTTATGAGCATTAATTAGAGAGTGTTAAAGATATGTAACATAATAAGTAATGAGGTTAGTTACGTATGTACTTTTTATTACTTGAAGCCCCGTCTAAGAACTGATATGTGAACTAGTGTATGAAAATAATTTAAAGCGCGTATTTTATACAGAGATCTAGTTCTCGACAAGGAGAATTCAAATACAACCACGATGAGAATGGTACCTTGCTTTTGCAAGAAATTTGAGCTTAATATTTTCTTGAGAAAATAGGAACCCAATGTTTTTATTTAATTTGCCTTAAAGTCTGCAAACAGGAAGCTCTTCAATTGATCCATTGCAACTTCACCATGTACGCCTGTGGACTAGCAAGAAGAGACTGCACACACCCAAACAATCCACAAATTACGTCAGAGTTGGGAGGTTCATATGAGCAGTAAAGATCGAGTCCGATAAATTGGCGGTCTTGTGTCAGCGGGTTAAGCCAGATAAAGTCAAGTTTTTCAACCTGAGTTCGTACACTCATTAGGCTGCGATGGAAAAATTAAATCATTCAAAATATTTTAATGCTATTAAGGGACTGTTGAATCCAACAGATATTTACTCAGCTATTTTACCTCTGTATTATTTGTCCAAAATACTTGGGTTAGCACCATTCTACTACAGAAGTGAAAAGCCAGAAGGCAGGATACAAATCTCGCTTCTAGGGACACTACACTCCTGCTTCATGTGCAGTGTATTGATGGCTCTCTTGGTTGTGTTATTCAAGTGGCATCTGGAGAAAGAGTTTGAAAAATACAGTTTGATAACCGACTTTGTAAGTTTGTCCGACTCCATAGTTTCTTCACTCGGAGTGATCATATCATATGTCCTTTGTGCAAGCATCAACCGTGGAAGAATACAGAAACTACTGTTTCTCCTATCTCACGTTGATACTTATTTGGTCAAAACAGTTAACTCCTACAAAACAGTCTGTGTTTCACTAATATTTGGAATAGTGTTGTCTTTTTTGATGCATGTATGTTGTATCATTGTGGCCAGCACACACCGTTCTCACGCGGAAAATTATGAGGCACATTTCATATATTGTCTATTCAGTATAATTGGAATGACTACGTGTTCTCAGTTCGTTTACGCAGCTCTTCTTCTGAAACATCGATTTGGAGTATTAAATGAAGATTTGCTGATGGTTTTTGATATCGAAGACGAGGTTGTTCTTGACGATATGCAATTACTGGAACCCATGTCACGGACAGTTTCAAAGACTAGATTAGAAGAACAAACTTCCTGTCAAGAATCATTGCATCAGACTTCCACATTCGAAGAACTCGATTGTTCTGACTCAAAACATGGTAATTCAGAACAAATAAATGAATTGTCGGATTCAGAAGATTGGAAGAGAAGTGTGAAAATTGCAGTAATACGCGAGGTTCATTTTATTCTTTGTGATGCTTCAGAATTAACTAATTCGATATTCCAAGTTCAAATTCTTGTGGGTTCCATTGAAATATTCCTAAAAATCACTGTATGTTTGTATGGTAGCTTAACTTATGTGACAGGTTTGTTTACTTGTGAGTTGTATAGTCTATCTAAGTGGAATATGCTTGCTTTGTTCCTTATGTGGGCCACAATTAATTTGTCGAAATTGATAGCTGTCACAGCGAGCTGTGATGCAGCCAGCGAGCAGGCGAACCATGCAGCGGTGCTAGTACAGAAGCTTCTGGTTGTGCAGTCCCTACACCCCGAGACCACGGCGGAACTGCAGATCTTCTCACAACAGCTGCTGCATCGTAAAGTGCGTTTTACTGCCTGTGGGTTCTTTCCGATAGACTTCACTCTTCTGTACAGCATGGCCGGTTCAGTTACCACGTACCTGATCATTCTTCTTCAGTATAACGGAGAGGACGTGGGCAACTTCATTGAACTGTGTAACAAAACATTCAACAAAACCGCTTAACTGTAGTTATTTTCATGTTTCACGTACACTGTTCACCAATATGAGCTTCATGCCGACCCATTATTCTTGCTCACGATATTATTGCTGTTTTTTTATTGCTAGTGGGGTGGACTAAGTTCCTTGTACTGCGGCCACTTCTGGCCAATTGTACCAGCCCCAGATGATTGGTGAGGGTGGCTGTGGAGCAGTTGGTGGAATGAAGATTGGCAGGGGAAACCGAAGTACTCGAGAAAACCTGCCCCAGCGCCACTTTGTCCACCACAAATCCCACTTGACCAGACACGGGATCTAACCCGGGCCTCCGCGGTGGGAAGCCAGCGACTAACCGCTTGAGCTATGGTGCGGCCATATTATTGCTGTTACTAATCCTGCTACAGTTATTAAATACTTCTCACTTGTTGGGTACTGCGTGTAATAAATGCCTTATAATAAATGTTTAAAAATTTACCTATACGCAGTAAGTTGTGTAAAGATTATTTGAATTTGTTCTATGTAGAATAAAACATCTAAAGCTTAATTGTATCTGAATAATGTAATTTCAAAATTACCGATTGTCAGAACACTGTATAATGTATGTTACTATGAATTGTTTGAGATAATTACAGTGGTGTCAGAATTGTTGTAATCCACTATAACCTGAATGGGCTATTTGAAATTGTGAAGTATTCCGTCTGTAACGCAACAAAATCAGTCCTTTCTTAAAAGACTATAAAGTATATCAATTTCTCACCAAAGAATAAATATTGCACTATGGTGGCATAGGATGGGATGGTATGGATTGGATAGATCTGGCTCAGGATAGGGACCAATGGAGGGCTCTTGTGAACACGGTAATAAACCTTCGGGTTCCATAAAATGCTGGGAAATTCTTGAGTAACTGCAGAATTGGCGGCTCCTCCAGAAGAGCTCAGCTCCGTGAGTGAGTGAGTGAGTGAGTGAGTGAGTGAGTGAGTGAGTGAGTGGCACATGTGCGGCCGAAACATGTAGCAAGAACAATGAATGTAAATAGTTAATGGCATTTCAAAATATTAACAAACACGTTTTAGTGAATTAAATATATTTTAATGTCTTTTAAGAAAGGTCTGTCTTTGTTGCACCGCAGACAGAATACTTTACCATTTAAAATGGTACCCCAATGCAAGAGGATGCTGAAATATAATACTGAATGGGCTGTATTTAACTGACATTTGTAGAACACGGATTTATAGAGTACATACTTGATGCAACATATTCTTTATTTATTCTGTCAGAATATACATGCAGTCACTTTCTTATTGTACTCTTATTTCGGGTTTTGGTACTTAGTCCAGATATATCGGTCTGGTATTTGTGTCATTTTGTGTCCTAACTTGTAACTGTCATTTCTGTCATTCAGATATTTAACGATATGGTCATGTCTGTCAGCAAGATGTATGCGTTTTCTTTTAGATGCATACAGATACAGCCTTATATGAAATAAACTTAAGCTGAAATCAAGTTTTAGTTAGAGTGCTCATCAGTGTTTCTGATAAATGTGTGTATACGGCCAATTTCTGCAACCCATTTTCAGAATATATACTAGAAATTAATAAGCATATTATTTCAATTCTGATTCACCACGTGACTGTCTGAAACTATGGAAAGATTTAAGAGCTCGCCCTTTTCTCTCTTTGATGCTGTGATATCAGCCTCATTGAAGGAAACACTTTAACTTTTTTAACATGTTCTGACCACATCATGGCTGTTTATCGCGATGGAGCTACATACTCCACTTTCATTATGCAACTATTTTTTTTCCCCCTTGGCACTACAGCCCCAGTGGGCCTAGGCCTACCTCCGTGAACTTCTCCGTTCACTTCGGTTTTTCTAGATCTTACACATTCGGTAGGACTCCTTGGGCGGGTGATCAGCTCGTCGCAAGACCTCTACCTGTACACAAACAGAAAAACGCACACACAAACTAAACATCCATGCCCTGAGTGGGATTCGAACCCACGAACCCGGTTTCCAAGCGACCGAAGACAGTGCATGCCTTAGACCGCTCGGCTACCGTGACCGGCTATGCAAGTATTACCATACGTAATTTCCTTTAACTTTGCCTAGGTTTAAGTGCTTAGTCCATATTCTGGTTAATGCGACAGGCTTTGATGAAGCATGCACTGTATTACGTCATATGAATATTTCCATGTGTACGTTTCATTCGCCTCAACTGATTCAAGCTACATTAGGTGAAGGTATAATTATGTTCTTTGGCGTCTCTCGCTAAGTATTTATATAGAGAAAAATAGCCTCAATAAAAGTTATAAGTATACATAAAATACAAATCCTAGAAATTTCTTTCTTGCTTATTTTTCACTGACTTCGGGAAGATCGTAAGTGCAATCATGAGGATCGAACGGGCAGTTTGGACTTAATGAATACGTTATTTGTAATGGACAGTAACAAATGAAACAGGATATATGTCCTAGTGGGCAGCCTCTGTGGTCTAGTGGTCAGAGTTCCAGGCTAAAGATCCAGAGGTCCCGGGTTCGATTCCCGGCGCTACCAGATTTTCTGAGTAGTGGGTCTGAAACGGGGTTCACTCAGCCTCGTGAGGATAACTGAGGAGATAT